CCATATTTAACTTTCTCATGTACTATATTCAGCGCCTTGGGCTTCCCGACAGGGTTGCGGAAGGCGCTTTATAAATAAAGCTTTGATTGATTGATTGATTGATTGCTAAGCTGAGTCCCATTCTGTCCCGCTCTGAACTTGAGGCAGTTCTCCACACCTTCATCTCCTCACGCTTAGACTACTGTAACTCTCTTTTCATGTGTCTGAGCAAAACCTACCTGAACCGTCTACAGGTGGTTCAGAATGTCTGTGCTCGGCTTCTGACCAAGTCCTCCAAACACACCCACATCACCCCGCTTCTCCTCCAGCTTCATTGGCTGCCAGTCAACTTCAGGGTTCATTTTAAGATCCTGGTTCTGGTCTATAGGGCCTTACATGGACAAGTACCATCTTACATTGGTGATCTTCTTAGTCCCTACACCCCCAGCAAGTCCCTGAGGTCCAGTGATCAAAGCCTACTGGTTGTGCAGCACCAGGCTAAAGACCAAAGGTGACAGATAATTTGCTGCTGTGGCCCCCAGACTCTGGAACTCTCTTCCCCTGAGCTTGAGATCAGTGGACTCAGTGGTCTCCTTTAAAAAGCAGCTGAAGACTCATTTGTTCAAGCTGGCTTTTGTATGACCTTCTTCACCACTCTCTCTTTATTCTGCTCTCCCCACCTATTCCACCTTCCTCAGGACCCACTGATTTCCCTCTTTCCTATTCACTCTCTCTCTTTCTTAACATTTTTTTATCAAAATTGTCTATTTTTTGCTCATTTCAAATATATTTTTAACCATTTTCTAAGTTCTTTTTTACATTTTTACATTTTTTGTGAAGTGCCTCGTGAATTTTATCTTGAGAGGCGCTATAGAAATGATATTTTCTTCTTCTTCTTCTTAACTTTCGATACGGTGAGGAAAAACAGTGAATAAATAGTAAAAGGGTACAGCTTTAGACAAGGCAGCTTTATTGATATATCACATTTCATACACAGAGGCAATTCAATGTGCTTTTCGTTAGCAAGACTAGCATGAACATTAAACATTTCATATGACAGCACAATTAAAATACACACAAATTAATTTCCGATTTAAGAAGAAAAAAATGACAAAGTTGAGGGGTGAGCTGTTACAGTGAAGAATGTGCAGTGTAAGAAACACCATTCAAAGGCAGATGAAAACATGAAAGTTTTCCATTTTGATTTAAAAGTTACTAGAGTTGGGGCACATTTGAGGTCATGAGCAAGCTGATTCCATCTGAGTGCACAACGCATTCTCACATCTGAAGTGGCTGAAACTGACGAAGGGTGACTAAGTGTTTGTTTCCGACGCATTGGGAGCCCAAACACGTCGGGAAGCGACGTGCTGTGTCAGAGCGTTGCTTTCCAGCGCTCGCAGTAAAACGGAGAATTAATCGAATTGTGACTCTTACCCTCTTGCTATTAACCTTCCCCTCACCTCATCCTAACCTTAACCAGTTGGGCATGCAAAAATGTGTTTCTTGTTGTATCATTCCTCTCAAACACGGTTAACGGGACATTAAGAAAGAGAAACTCAGTTAAGGTTAGGATGGGGGCAAGGGGAAGTTTAAATTGCTAGAGGTTAGAGGTTAAATGTTGGTGAAATGTCCGTTTCAACGCGGGCGTTGGAAAGCGACGCTCTGGCACAGTGCATTGCCTCCCGACGCATTGAACGCTTGGTCACCCTTCATCAGTTTCAGCCGCTTCGAGAATGTGTTGGTGTGAAGCACAGTAGCTAAAAGCAGCTTCACTCTGTTTGGTTCTGACCCGGATTTCTACAAGCTGACTGTTTCCTAAGCATCTCAGTCCTGCTGGGTGTAAATACAGGAAGGAAATCCGACATGTATTTTGGCCACATGCTACTAAATGATTTATAAACGCACTTTGAAATTAATTCTGTAGTTTATTGGAAGCCAGTGTAGAGATTGCCGGAGTGATGTGCTTGGTGCTCTTGGTTCTTGTTAAGACTCTAGCAGCAGCACTCCGAATAAGCTCCAGTTGCTTTACAGCTTTTTTGGGAAGACCAGACAAAAGACCATTGCAATAGTGCAGTATACTTGAGCTCAATGCATGAATGAGTTTCTCTACGTTTAATGACATTTAAAATAAAATATTACTTGCAGTAAATTCTCCAACAAAATATTCTCAGAGGAAATAAAACAGATAACTAATTTATAACAGTTCAATTATTTTCTGTTGACTAAACTGGGGTATTGGTACTTTCCCAGTGCAACATCAGTAGTTCCGGGTTGTAGTGTAGGTAGTAGTAGTGGTTAGCTCAAACGGTGGGTTCCATATTGCTGATTCCATTCTTCCCGGTAAACGGACCTGGTGTCTGGCACCTACACTAGCCTATGTCAATCGAGTAGCAAAGGAGTGGCTTCAAAGGATGGAGCTCTTGAATTTGGACACAGTTTTATGTCTGTGTGGGAATTTGGTACGTGTCTGTGCCGTAACAAACATTATGTGCCAAAATATCCTAATGCAAACACGTTTGTTACAACCCTAGTAATTTGTAACAGTGACAAAGAAATTAAATTGTCCCTTATCACTCAGAGATCGTCCACTTGAGGGCAGTAGACATTTATAGAACTGGATAAGGCAGGTGATGAAAGTACTAATGCTAATACGTCACCTGGATGTTTCACATCAAGCAGTAGTTTGTTTGTGAATTCAATAGTCACAGTAGGGAATAGTCAGGCTGCATGGTGGTGTAGTTGGTAGCAATGTTGCCTTGTAGCAAGAAGGAAGCGGGTACGAAAAGCGGCTGGAGTCTTTCTGAGCGGAGTTGGCCGGAGTTTGTTTGTTCTTACCATGCATGTGTGTGTTTTCTCTGGGTACACCTCCCACAGAGAAAAAAAAAGCATGTTAGGCACTTGAAATTTACTTTAGATAAAAGTGTGCAGTAAATGAATGAACATAAAGGTGGTCTAGGTAAAAGAGGTCATTCAAATGTACCGTAGAGGGGTCATGTGAGAATTTTTACAGAAAAGATATCTAAAGAAAAATATTGTGCTAATGTTGTAAAATTACTACTAAAATTATGTCAATATGGAGAAACCCAGATTAGTTTCGATTGTATTCTTTAAAATGGTTAGGCAAAGACTAAAACAGGTTCCTAAAACAACTCCAATCTGAGAAATTTCAAAGCAGTCTATTCAAACACTATTTTACAAACATTTACATAAACTAAAATGTGGTCTTACATGGCAATTCCATGAGAATTACAAACATACTATGCCCTAGGCTGCACATGAAGTGTTCACTGTTATGCTGACGACACCCAGCTGTACATTTCCTCCCATCCAAATACATCCCTTCCACCAATCTCCCTCTCTGTCTATCTGAAATTAGATCTTGGCTAACTCATAATCTTAAACTAAACAACAATAAAACTGAATCCTACTCACTGGCACTGCTTCTGTTTTAAAAAATTCTCCCAGTTTCTCTATCAATATTTACGACTCCACAGTGCACCCATCTTTACAGGTAAAAAGTCTTGATGTCATACTAGGTGGTACACTTTCAATCCAATCTCACATTAACCATGTTACTCGGGTCACATATTTCCATCTTCGCAATATCAACAGACTCCGTCCTTTTCTCACGCCTCATGCTGCTGCAGTCCTCGTTCATAGTCTCATCACCTCTCGCATCGACTATTGTAACTCCCTTCTATTTGGTCTCCCAACTAAATCCCTTCATAAACTCCAACTTCTCCAGAACTCAGCAGCACGCATCATTATTGGTACCCCCTCACGAAATCACACTACTCCTGTTCTTCAAAGCCTATACTGGTTGCCAATAGAAACCAGGATCATATACAAGATCCTACTACCGTACTCACATTTAAATCTATCCATCGCATGGCCCCACATTATCTGTGTAATTTACTAACTATTGCAACCACTTCCCGGTCTCTTAGATCCTCATCTGCACTTCATCTGGTTCAACCTCGAGCTCACCTTACCACCATGGGGAGCTGAGCCAACCTCGAGCTCACCTTACCACCATGGGGAGCTGAGCCAACCTCGAGCTCACCTTACCACCATGGGGAGCTGAGCTTTCAGTTGCTCTGCTCCGCGGCTCTGGAACTCACTTCCCTCTGCCATTAGAAATACGGACTCTTTTCCATTATTCAAGGCACACTTCAAAACCCACTTATTCAAACAAGTTAATTCCCTTCAGACTTAGACTTTAGAATGTTTCCAATTTGTATGTATCTTATTTGTTCTTATTGCTCTATCAACCTCTGTTGTTTTTATTGTTTTTATCTTTGTTTAATTGTAAGGTGACCTTGGGTTTGAGAAAGGCGCCCTCAAATAAAATTTATTATTATTATTATTATTATTATTATTATTATTATTATAAGTGCCACAGCTAGCTTATATGTGCAAAACCAAAAATTGTAAAATAAATCTTTGTCTTTTTAAATAGTGATCACTTAAGCAGCTTATATCATTTTTAAGAATGGTCTTGACTTCGCTTGGACTAGCCATAAGTTTATCAATCTAATAAGAACTAATCTGTATTTCTCCAAACGTAATTGGGTCTAATTGTTCACAATCCTGCTTTAAAAGGTTTGAATGACTGTTTTAATAATTTGCATCCATTTTTTTGTTGTTGTTGTTTGTTTGTTTGTTTTTTTTGTCCATCTGACCACTACAAGCAGGCAAGGAGGGTGAAGTGTCTTGCCCATGGATATAATTGCGACAGACTGGGCAAGTCACAAACCTGTAACCCTCCAGTTATGGCACAGGAACAACCACTTAACTTCACCGTCATTTTTCTAGCATCCTGTCCAGAAATAAAAAAACATTTTATAATTGGTGATCTAACTGTACACCCCTTAACTCTATAGCATAAGTTAAACCCAGTACATTGAGTGATGCTTTGTTTTGTTTTTTTACCCCACAGACAACCTGCAATTGGTTTAGTTTAGTTTAAATTACATATAAATGAAATTAATTTTAAATTTGCATCCATTTTTTTGTTTCAGGTGATTCTTGAGTCAGGTCATCGTGTCAGAGCCGAAACGTACGGAGACCAGACAAGCCTGACAATTGAGGTGACCGAGCGGGAGGACACTGGCAACTACAAGATAGTTTTGCAGAACGAGGCAGGCGAGGCCACAGCCAGCGTCAAAATAAAGGTGGTCGGTAAGAAAATCAGTGTGAAACCCAAACATAAAAGTAAATTTGTTCTTTTTCCATCTTGAACATTGTAACTGATTGCGCATTGCTTGCAGACATTCCCGACCCTCCTGATGCACCTTTGGTTCCAGTTGTTGGAGGTGACTGGTGTTCTATGACATGGGAACCACCCAAATATGATGGAAGTTCACCCATATTAGGTAATTACAACATCAAGCCAGTTATCATGCCTGAACATACAGGTGCTGGCCAGTAAATTAGAATATCATCAAAAGGTTGAAAATATTTCAGTAATTCCATTCAAAACGTGAAACTTGTACATTATATTCATGCAATGCACACAGACCAATGTATTTCCGATGTTTATTACGTTTAATTTTGATATTTATAGGTGACAACCAATGAAAACATCAAATCTGGTATCTCAGAAAATTAGAATATTCTAAAGGCCAATGAAAAAATGTTTTTTTCTCTAATGTTGGCCAACTGAAAAGAATGAACATGAAAAGAATGTGCATGTATAGCACTCAATACTTAGTCGGGGCTCCTTTTGCCTCAATAACTGCAGTAATGCGGCGTGGCATGGACTCGATCAGTCTGTGGCACTGCTCAGGTGTTATGAGAGCCCAGGTTGCTCTGATAGTCGTCTTCAGCTCCTCTGCATTGTTGGGTCTAGCGTATTGCATCCTCCGCTTCACAATACCCCATAGATTTTCTATGGGGTTAAGGTCAGGCGAGTTTGCTGGCCAATCAAGGACAGGGATACCATGGTCCTTGAACCAGGTGCTGGTGGTTTTGGCACTGTGTGCAGGTGCCAAGTCCTGTTGAAAGGTGAAGTCTGCATCCCCATAAAGTTGGTCAGCAGCAGGAAGCATGAAGTGCTCTAAAACTTCCTGGTAGACGGCTGCATTGACCCTGGACCTCAGGAAACAGAGTGGGCCAACACCGGCAGATGACATGGCACCCCACACCATCACTGACGGTGGAAACTTTACACTGGACCTCATGCAACGTGGATTCTGTGCTTCTCCGCTCTTCCTCCAGACTCTGGGTCCTTGATTTCCAAAGGAAATGCAGAACTTGCTTTCATCAGAAAACATAACTTTGGACCACTCAGCATCAGTCCAGTCCTTTTTGTCCTTGGCCCAGGCGAGACGCTTCTTGCGCTGTTTCATGTTCAAGAGTGGCTTGACACACGGAATGCGACACCTGAATCCCATGTCTTTCATGAGTCTCCTCGTGGTGGTTCTTGAAGCGCTGACTCCAGCTGCAGTCCACTCTTTGTGGATCTCCCCCACATTTTTGAATGGGTTTGTCGTCACAATTCTCTGCAGGGTGCGGTTATCCCTAGAGCTTGTACACTTTTTTCTACCACATTTTTTCCGTCCCTTCGCCTGTCTGTTAATGTGCTTGGACACAGAGCTCTGCGAACAGCCAGCTTCTTTAGCAATCACCTTTTGTGTCTTGCCCTCCTTGTGCAAGGTGTCAATGATTGTCTTTTGGACAGCTGTTAAGTCAGAAGTCTTCCCCATGATTGTGGTGCCTTCAAAACAAGACTGAGGGACCTTTTAAAGGCCTTTGCAGGTGTTTTGAGTAAATCAGCTGATTAGAGTGGCAGCAGGTGTCTTCTATATTCAGCCTTTTCAGAATATTCTAATTTTTTGAGATACCAAATTTGGAGTTTTCATTAGTTGTCACTTATGAATATCAAATTTAAATGTAATGAACATTGGAAATACATTGGTCTGTGTGCATTGCATGAATATAATGTACAAGTTTCACGTTTTGAATGGAATTACTGAAATATTTTCAACCTTTTGATGATATTCTAATTTACTGGCCAGCACCTGTACATGCAGGTGTTAGATAACATTATGATGTTTTTTTGAAGGCTATTTTATTGAGCGAAAAAAGAAGCAGAGCTCCAGATGGATGAGGCTGAACTTTGACCTCATCAAAGAAACTTCATTTGAACCCAAAAAGATGATTGAAGGAGTGCCATATGAAGTGCGCATTTTTGCAGTCAATGCCATCGGCGTGTCCAAACCCAGTGAACCATCCAAAGCCTTTACGCCCCTTGGTGAGTGGTTTAAGCATCTCCTTAGCAACACCAATTATGACTTAGGGTCAGTTTATCCAGCAAAGAATAATAAACTCTTACACAAGGTTCATCTAACAACAATTTCATAATAGGTTAATTTTCAAAGCGAGGTCATGCTTGGTGCCCCAGCAACACAGCTGTTCCCCCACATACCTATCATTTTTAGTTTGACCTCCACGGGACACACAAGAGCTTTAGGGGATATGATATATGTCTTTTTAATGGCTGCCAAATCATCTCCGGATTATAAGTTTAGAGGATCAGACGAGTCAAAGAGTGAATTAGGAGTCAAATATGACTCAGAACACAGGAATAGACTGTAGGAGAATGAACTAAAGAGCTCAGGCAGGGAGGCTGATGGCATACCAGCAAGAGACAGCAATCCTAGAGATCATGTTTAGGATTGAAAAAACAACATCCAAATTTGCCCAAAGAGAAAACTGTGCAGCATTTAGTCTAAATATTTTGCAGACATCCAGAACTAAAACAAATGTTTAAAATCTAGTCAAACTTTCAAAGGGACAAGAAAGAATAAATAGGCAATGTACAAAAATGGATTACAACTCAAGATTTCTACTTTCAAGCAACTCTAGAGTATCCAAACGTTTCAAGGCAAGAGCCCAAACTGTAAATTAAAAATGTGATTTATGTATTAATTTATTGAAAAATATATAGGGAATTATTTATTTGTACTGGTAAAAATATTGGCTTTGTAAAAATTTGATCACAAAAATGTTAATTCAATTCAATTCAATTTTATTTTATTTATATAGCGCCAAATCACGACAAGAGTCATCTCAAGGCACTTCACATAATAAACATTCCAATCCAGGTCAGTTCATTGAGCCAATCAGAAAAAATATTTCCTATACAAGGAACCCAGCAAATTGCATCAAGTCACTGACTAGTGTCAGTGACTGTACAGCAATCCTCATACTAAGCAAGCATTTAGCGACAGTGGAGAGGAAAACTCCCTTTTAACAGGAAGAAACCTCCAGAGAATCCTGGCTCAGTATAAGCAGCGTTCCACAACGACTCACTGGGGATCGAGAAGACAGAGCAGACACAGACACACACACATACATACACACACACACACACACACACACACACACACACACACACACACACACACACACACAAACCATTTTAACTTGGGATTTGAATGACATGTCCTGGTCGAAGATAACACCAAGGTTCCTTACTTTGTTCTCTGAGATTAATGTAATGCCATTTAGGTCAGGTGAATAACTAAGTAATTTCCTTTTCTGGATTTCTGGTCCAAAGATGAGAACTTCCGTCTTGTCTTGATTTAAAAGCAAAAAGTTTAGAGTCATCCAATTTTTTATGTCCTCAAGACAAGCCTGTAATCTATCTAACCGATTAGGTTCATCAGGGTTAATGGATAAATATAACTGTGTATCGTCAGCATAACAGTGGAAGTTTATCCCATGCTGTCTAATGATTTTACCAACTGGGAGCATATATATAATGTAAAAAGAATTGGTCCAAGCACTAAACCCTGCAGTACTCCACAAGTAACCCTGGAGTATGAAGAAGATTTATCATGTACATTTACAAAATGAAATCTATCAGACAGGTAGGATTTAAACCAGCCTAGCGCTGTTAATAAGTGTAGATCTATACTATCAGCAGCCTGCTGGAGTGACAAAATTCCACCAATCTAGAAGATAAGTTGGGGCTGCACAAAGTCTCTCCAAGGGCTGTGAATGGCCCTCTGGTCACCTTTGGACCTCCCTGAGTTATATCATTGAAATGTATTTTGTTTCATGAGTAGATAGGACTGAATGAACATTGTCTCCTTAGAAAGCAATTAAGGGACTGTTGCAGTGGTTTTTAAGATTTTAAAATGCGTTTTCCCAAACCAGCTGTGACCAGTGAGCCCACAATGCTAGTTGTGGATGACGTCACAGACACTACGGTTACTGTAAAATGGCGTCCACCTGAAACCATTGGAGCTGCCGGGCTGGATGGATACTTAGTGGAGTATTCCATTGAAGGAAGTGAGTCAGATGTCACTTTGTAGAACCCAAAGATCTGATTGGACTGTTGACTGCTGTGCAGGCTAAACTGTTTTCTCTACAGCTAATGACTGGATTGTGTCCAACAAGGAGGTGACAGAGAAAACTAAGTACACCATCACTGGGCTAACTCCTGGAAGTAAAATTTTAGTTCGAGTCAAAGCTATTAACAAAGCTGGAGCCAGTTCTCCACGGACTCTGCAGCACTCTGTCTTGGTCAAGGAAGTTGTTGGTAAGCCCTTTAATCTTATCCTAAATTTCAGCTTGGTGTACAGTTATATCCAAATGAAGCAATCAAACATGAATGATTGTCTAATTTTATACCTGTTGTGAAGAACCACCCAAGATCCGTGTCCCAAGACACTTGAAGCAGACATACACTCGCAGAGTTGGAGAAGCTGTCAACCTTGTTGTGCCTTTCCAGGTAAATCTCACACCTTCTCAAATGTTAGGCTATCTTCACACAGAATGAGGACTCTGCTGTGATTTTAAAAATAATGTTCTTGGACTTGTATAATCTTTGCAAGTTTTTTGTAAATCTTCATGCACAAACTGATATTGCAGTGGGCTGCAGTAAAAAATTTGCCATGCTTGCAGTGGTGCCCAGTCCTCATCCTCGAGATCCCCTATCCAGCATCTCTTAGAAGTTTCCCTGTTTAAACACACCTGCTTTGAATCAGTGGTGATTAGCAGTGTTCTGCAGAGCCTGTAGCTGTTGAACAGGTGATTTATCCACTGAATCAGCAGGGTGAGATATAAAACAAGCTGGATAGGGGATCTTGAGGACCAGGATTGGGTACCAATCACCCTCATTCCAGAATATTGGAGATTTGGGTTAAGACTACACTCTAAGAAGTTAAATGAATTTACTTAACCAATTTTCTCCAACATGTTCCACTAAACTTAGTTACTTAAATAAACAGAAAGATTGCATTTGTAAAAACCCGGTTATACAATTTATAAGCATAAAAAAGTTATTTTGGGGATTGGTTACTCTTTGAGGACACGTGGAGTTGTCCATTCGAAGAAGTAACAATCTTTTATATAGCAACTCTCAAGATAAAAATCACAAGGTGCTGCACAAGAACAAATAAAAAAAAATATTAAAAAATGTCAGAAACATGAAAAATTGTAATTAAAAAATATGAGGAAAGGGAAAGAGAAAATGACTAAGAAAGGGGTAATCAGTGGATCCTGGGAAAGGCAACATTGGTAGGGTGTGCTGAATGAAGAAATATTGCGTCCAAAAGTGGTGAGGACAAAACCCCCAATATTTTGTAGTGGTGGGGACGCCTCCAGTGTCCACTGCTAAAATGACACCAAGGCAGTTGACATAACGTGGTTAAGTAAATTAAACATTTCCTTTCTTAGAGTATAGGGATGTGTGGTGGTAGTATATTCGTGGAATGGGTCAAGTATGTGAAGCAGGACTGGTCAACCTAATTTCATGTCTAAACTATGATCCTGTCACATGGTACGTAGTAATCTTCATGTCTGCATGTCGCAGGCTGAGAGAATCATGCTAATGCGGGTTCTATGTGCAAATGGAATCATGGGCATGCATAAAAGGGTGCATGGTACATACTGAGTTCCTCAAGTGAAGGTTTTCCAAATTTTCTTTGTGTATTTGCAGGGGAAACCCCGGCCAAAGGTCACCTGGTTGAAGGAGGGCAAGCCTGTAGAATCCTCTCATGTTAGTATCCGCAACACGGACTGTGATAGCATCATATTTATCCGTAAAGCAGAGCGCAGCCACTCCGGGAATTATGAGATGACAGTTCAAGTTGAAAACTATGCAGACACAGCAGTTATTGACATTCAAATTGTAGGTGAGTCTTCAAGCTCCCCAAACTGATTATCCCAAATAAAAACATTGCAATTTTAGGCATTTACCTAGTTTCCTTTTCTGATTTCAGATCTGCCTGGACCTCCTTTCAGCGTGAATATTGAAGATGTCTGGGGAGAAAATGTAGCTCTAGTTTGGACCCCTCCGAAAGACAGCGGAAACGCCCCAATAACTGGCTACACTATACAAAAAGCAGACAAGAAGACAATGGTAATTAAAAAACAGGCTTAACTAAAGCAAAATCCTCAACAGTAAAGTCCAAAGCTAGATTAACCTTTTCAATACACACATTCTGTTTTTGGTGCTTTTCAGGAATGGTTCACGTGTATTGAGCACTACCACCGCACCTGTATCACAATCACAGAGTTGGTGGTTGGGAACGAGTACTTTTTCAGGGTCTTTTCAGAGAATATGTGCGGTCTGAGCGAAGCGGCTACCCAAACTAAAAAGAGTGCTCTCATCGTCAAAGAAGGTACAACAAAGTTGAAGGAGAACCCTTTTATAAATAATAAATAAAAACACACTCATATTTAAGCAATGATAAACACAACTATGAGATGATAATAATAATAATAATAATAACAATAATAATAATAATAATAATAATGATAATGATAATAATAATATAATTTTATGAAAGAGTATATTAAAAATGTTTGCATTCATTTATTTAAAAAAGCATTTAAGCTATCTCATATTTATTTGTTTTATAAATACAATTATTTATTTAAGGGCTTACCTTTTGATATTGAGCTAGATGGCATTACATAACTTTCTAATGGGAGATTTGTTTCCAGAAACGAAACATTAAAGCAAGGCAACACTGTTAATAAAATGGATTTAACATTTACTATATTTATTTTTACACAGCTGATGTCTAAAAGGTCCTGTCAGTGATCTTTTTCCACCCTGAAGTAAACCTAATTAACACACTTTTGTGTATGACTGACAGACCCTTGTAACGGTGATGTTCTAGCCTCAGCTGATGAATAAATAAAAACGTTGTCTTTCCTTCATCACATAGAGAATTCCCCACATGATACCGCTCAGCACCAGTATCATGCACAACCCCATTCCTTTACCCTTACCCCCACAGGCTCACAGATGAAGATACCTGAGTACAGTGACCACGACTTCAAGGAGCCGCCAAAGTTCACTCAGCCACTGATTAACACTTTTGCCGTCGCTGGCTACAACACTACTCTGAACTGCAGTGTTCGTGCCAACCCAAGGGTAGGTAGAAAAATTGACGGTTGTCCATGTGATATTAGATTATTCTGTTTTACTACCAAACTATTCAGATTCCGTAAAAGTTGGATGGTTTCACTCTTGGTTTAAACCTCTGCAGTATTTAGTGCCTTTAAACTGAACCCTGGTCTGTTTTGCCCCTTGGTGCTGCTCATTTTTACTGATGTGAACACAGTAATCACACTAGAGCCCTTTTCAGATTGACATTCCGGAATATGTATGGACAATTCAGTCCGGTTTTTAACCAGAACTGTGTTTTCAGACACACCACTTTTGTACCGGAACTTGTCTCTTCGGCTGCCTTCACACAGCAGGGAAAAGTTCCAGATGTCGGGGGGGGGGGGGGGGGGGGGGGGGGGGGTCGGACTTATGTTAAGCATAATTCTGCGCACACGAAGATGCATAAGACCTGGATGATGGTGCTCAATGGTTAAAGGAATCACGGAAGCGGTGTGATGCGCTCCTTCGCGCGTCTAGACGGTGCCGTAGGAGGCGAGCTGCCATGGTTTGCCGCATGCTACAGCAGCGGGCTATCTAGGAGCGCACAGCGTCCCCCGGTCCCCTCCTCCTCCCTGTCCGGAACTCGACCTCACCAGTCTGAAGCAGCCACCTTGTCAGTAACAAGTCCGGACCTGTTACTAGGGGCATCGTCCGGTTTAATTACGGAAAACGTTATCCGGATGTTTGTATTCAGACACAAAGGTCTTACAGACAGAGTCCTGAACATTTCCGTTTTTCATGGCCTGTCTGAAGGGGGCTATGGTTGCATAACTGAATCGGGTGAAAGAATCAAGACCGAGACAAGTTGGAGGAGGTTGTTCAAGTTTGGTTCCAAACAATCTCCAGAGTGGTTTGTACAGGGATGGACTGGCCTATCTGGCATTCTGGCACCATCCCGGTGGGCCGCTTAGCCAAGTGGGCTGTTTGCCCAGCTTGGGCCGACACTACTCCACAGTTGGTGATCTGCAGAACATTAGCTACATGGTAACCTGAAGCTAACAGAGTTTTTCCAGGCATTTTTAGCAAGAAAAACGCGGTAGAACGAGGAGTTGTTTTACCGCGTTAGCATGTAGCTAATGTCCCGCTAAGCTCCGCCCGTGGAGAATGAGTGGATCTGGAAGGCCAGTGCTCCCGGTCGCAGTAGTCTGGCCCTGCTTGTACTTTAACAGTCCCAGTCCATATTACATCTCACATTCGGCCTAGAGACGAGTCCGCGGGCGGCAACAACCCCCTACTCCCAACTCTCTCCCAATGGGGAGGGCTGACTGAGGGCTGACAATTCGTAAAAATGTCAGGGCCGAATTTTGGTCCCAGTCCACCCCTGGGTTTGTATGAAGTGTAATGTGATGCAACCTCAATCTTACACAACACAAACAAATAGGGTGCGAGTTTAATCCAAATGCCTTCTCGTAGGTTGTGTTGAATTCTGGGATATAGGAGGGCAAACAAAATAATTCCTGTTTGAAGTTTAAGTTTGTTTCGAAAGGAGAAAAACTGACAATCCCGGCAGCCAGCTAGATATGAAATTTATTTCAGTGTAAACTTCCTTCCAAAATGACTGAAATATTAGACTCTTTTGAGATTTTCTCACTGTAAAATTCTCACTATATTCTTACACACTGCACCTTTAATTTAGGAGCCCAATGTGGTTGAGGAAAAGCATACATGTTACAGCTAAAAGCTTCAAAATAATAACTAAACTACAAGACACACTTTGGATGGAGCCCATGAGCAAAGTCACAAATGCAGCTATTTCAAATGAGTTTTCAAACAAAAGCATTAAAGATGATAATTAGGAAAATCTGAACCGAGGAGTAAATCAGTATAATGGAACACAACTACACTGTAAACCCAAAAGTTCAAAATAATCACATATATTTAGTAGATAAAACTCATAATAAAAAATATGTTTTTAGAACTCAAATGTGTTGAGCTTGTTCAACCTTTTCCTTGTTTTAAGTACATAGAACTCAAACATTTTAATTAATCTGAACTATTTCCTTTTTTAAGTAAGCATAACTTTGATTGATTTATTATTTTATGTTTCTATGTTTTTCCATTCGTCTTTACGTCAACCCTAAAGTGTGTCTGATGAAAAGACTTGTATCTTTTTTTTAAAAGTGGATTTACAGGAAAAACAACCACAGACTAGCAATTTTGATGGATTGAAGGAACAATAAACTGCTGGGCGTGGTGCATTGTGGGTAGTCATATTTTCAGTTATTTTGCTCTATTTTGGGGTGTTTATGCATGTTCATTGTGGAGGATTGTTGTTCTCAGTTATTTCATTCAGTGTTGCAGATGTGGTGTTACTTTTTGTATCATGTTGGCCCCATAAGTGAGGAGGTTGGTCAAAGTAATGCTGTATGCTGTGCCGTCCCATTGTTATTAATACTGTGGTTGTTCACACCAGATACTCTTGACTTGACTTTGAGTGTCCCACTTTCATTGGCTGTTAGCATCTAGGGGTGTGTGAGTCATGATCTGGTGGTAGTTAATTCCTTCACCAGCCTGTCACATTGTCACTTTTAAGTAAATTCAGCTTATTTGGGTTAGGGTTTAATAGGTCCATTTAGAGTTCATATAAGTTATATTATTTAAGTTAGTAAAAACATGTAATAAAGTTCAAATAAAATAAATATGCAAGTTTAGTGAAATAAAACTTTGTAAGTTGCTTAAGTGCTAAGTTATAGGTTGGAGGTAGTTAAATGCTTTGATTTTATTCAGGTCATATTTTTAGGTTATGGTAAACATAGGTTTTAGATAAGTTAACTTAAAAATTATTAAGTAATCAGTTTCCTCATAAATGTTGAGTTCAGTGAACTTATTCAGGTTTACAGTGTATCAGCAGTATAACAATCCCACTAATTGTCTGTGGACAGCCTAAAGTCATCTGGATGAAGAACAAAATCACCATCATTGACGACCCACGCTACCGCATGTTCAGCAACCAAGGCGTCTGCACCCTGGAGATCAGGAAGCCCAGTCCTTACGACGGCGGCATGTACACCTGCAAGGCCATTAATGATTTGGGGGAGGCCCAGGTGGAGTGCAAGCTTGAGGTCAAAGGTTAGTGTGGAACAGCATGCATGCCTATGTCTCTGGGCCTGGTTTCCTAAATTATATGCCTTTATTTCAGCACAAAAAAATCCTTTATAAAAAATTAAGACTCTAAAAAGGCAATTATTACTTTTTGGAAACCAACTCCAAAGATATATCAGTCTCCAAAAGGAACGGTACAAGATGTGGACATGTAAGTATCTATAGGTTACACCAGATATTCATACATGTTTCACCAAATTTAAGTGTTAAAGTTTCTAGAGCCATAACAGATTCTAGTGATCTACAGATTGGGTTACAGGATTAAATCTCAAATATATGCACATATACACAGCACAGCTGGCACCATGGAAAATGGTGGACTCAGCAAGTCAAGCAGCTGCTTCTGAGCCCAGAAGATGGTCAATTATTCCCTATTAAGTGCTGTTGTATAATAAACATATTAATTGAAATAACTCCTTACCCTATACTATTCATCACTGGACATGGCGCTGGCTGGCCACCTCACATATCTGCAGCAAACCTGGTATCCCGATGGCTAGAAATCATGGGTGTTTCTCAGTGTCAAGGAACCTCGCCTTGATGTCTTGGTCCCGCCCCGGTTGCCTAGGAGATACGTCATCAGGAACTGCCAAGGCGTGTTCCCATGTTCATGTTCTAATGAGGCGTCTGTTCTCTATTTGTTAGCCGTTTAGCAAGGATACACGGGAGGTGTCTTGTAGCCTAGCCTTGACCAAAAATTTCCCAGACTACAGTGGAGTATTTTCAAATGGATGGCAGATCAGGAGCCAGCAGCTACTTTGGGGGTAAATTTCCAGTTCAAATGTCGTCGTCGTCGTCGTCTTCCTCCGCTTATCCGGGTCCGGGTCGCGGGGGCAGCATCCCAACTAGGGAGCTCCAGGCCGTCCTCTCCCCGGCCTTGTCCACCAGCTCCTCCGGCAGGACCCCAAGGCGTTCCCGGACCAGATTGGAGATGTAACCTCTCCAACGTGTCCTGGGTCGACCCGGGGGCCTTCTGCCGGCAGGACATGCCCGAAACACCTCCCCGGGGAGGCGTCCAGGAGGCATCCTGACCAGATGCCCAAACCACCTCAACTGGCTCCTTTCGATCCGGAGGAGCAGCGGTTCTACTCCGAGTCCCTCCCGAATGTCCGAGCTCCTCACCCTATCTCTAAGGCTGAGCCCGGCCACCCTACGGAGGAAACTCATTTCGGCCGCTTGTATCCGCGATCTCGTTCTTTCGGTCATTACCCAAAGCTCATGACCATAGGTGAGGATTGGGACGTAGATCGACCGGTAAATCGAGAGCCTGGCTTTCTGGCTCAGCTCCCTCTTCCCCACGACAGATCGGCTCAGCGTCCGCATCACTGCAGACGCCGAACCAATCCGCCTGTCGATCTCCCGATCCCTCCTACCCTCACTCGTGAACAAGACCCCGAGATACTTAAACTCCTCCACTTGAGGTAGGACCTCTCCCCCGACCCGGAGTTGGCAAGCCACCCTTTCCCGGTCGAGAACCATGGTCTCAGATTTGGAGGTGCTGATCCTCATCCCAGCCGCTTCACACTCGGCCGCGAACCTACCCAGCAAGAGCTGAAGGTCAGAGCTGGATGAAGCTAGGAGGACCACATCATCCGCAAAAAGCAGAGACGAGATTCTCCTGCCAACAAACTCGACACACTCCACACCACGGCTGCGTCTAGAAATTCTGTCCATAAAAGTGATGAACAGAACCGGTGACAAAGGGCAGCCCTGGCGGAGTCCAACCCTCACTGGGAACAGGTCCGACTTACTACCGGCTATGCGGACCAAACTCACGCTCCTCTGGTAAAGGGACTGAATGGCCCTTAACAGGGGCGACGGTGGCACAGGAGTTAAGTGCTCGCCCCGTAATCGGAAGGTTGCAGGTTCGAGCCCCGCTCAGTCTGTCGCTGTCGTTGTGTCCTTGGGCAAGACACTTAACCCACGTTGCCTGCTGGTGGTGGTCGGAGGGACCGGTGGCGCCAGTGCTCGGCAGCCTCGCCTCTGTCAGTGCGCCCCAGGGCAGCTGTGGCTACATTGTAGCTCATCCCCACCAGTGTGTGAATGTGTGTGTGAATGGGTGAATGACTGGTTGTGTTGTAAAGCGCCTTGGGGGGTTTCAGGACTCTAGAAGGCGCTATATCAAATACAGGCCATTTACCATTTTAACAGAAAGCCACCCACCCCATACTCCTGGAGCGTCCCCCACAGGGTGCCCCTGGGGACACGGTCATAAGCCTTCTCCAAATCCACAAAACACATGTGGATTGGTTGGGCAAACTCCCATGCCCCCTCCATCACCCTTGCAAGGGTATAGAGCTGGTCCACAGTTCCACGGCCAGGACGAAAACCACATTGCTCCTCCTCTATCTGAGATTCAACTATCGATCGGACCCTCCTCTCCAGTACCTTGGAGTAGACCTTTCCAGGGAGGCTGAGGAGTGTGATCCCCCGATAGTTGGAACACACCCTCAGGTCACCCTTCTTAAAGATGGGGACCACCACCCCTGTCTGCCACTCCCTAGGAACTGCCCCCGATGACCACGCAATGTTGTAGAGACGTGTCAACCATGACAGCCCTACAACATCCATAGCCTTGAGATACCCAGGACGAACCTCATCCGTCCCCGGGGCTCTGATGCTGTGTAGTTGTTTGACTACCTCAGCAACTTCTGCCCCCGAGATCGGACAGTCCATCCCCAGGCCTCCCAGCTCTGGTTCCTCCTCGGAATGCGCATTGGTGGGATTGAGGAGCTCCTCAAAGTATTCCTTCCACCGTCCGACTATAGCCTCAGTTGACGTCAGCAGCTCCCCAACCCACTGTAAACAGTGTGAGCGAGTTGCTGCCTTCCTCTCCTGAGGCACCGGACAGTTTGCCAGAACCTCTTTGGAGCCGATCGATAGTCTTTCTCCATGGCCTCACCAAACTCCTCCCACACCCGAGATTTTGCCTCGGCAACTGCCACTGCTGCACCCCGCTTGGCTATCCGGTACCTGTCTGCTGCCTCCGGAGACCCACAGACCAGCCACGCCCTGTAGGCCTCCTTCTTCAGCCTGACGGCTCCCCAAACCTCTGGTGTCCACCAGCGGGTACGGGGGTTGCCATCACGACTGGCACCGGCCACCTTACGACCACAGCTAGCAACAGCCGCCTCGACAATCGCAGAGTGGAACAAGGCCCACTCGGACTCAATGTCCCCCACTGCTCTCGGGACGTGTTCAAAGCTCTGCCGGAGGTGGGAGTTGAAGACCGTCTTGACAGGTTCTTCTGCCAGGCGTTCCCAGCAGACCCTCACTATGCGTTTGGGTCTGCCAGGTCTACGCGGCATGTTCCCTTGCCATCTGATCCAACTCACCACCAGGTGGTGATCAGTTGACAGCTCCGCCCCTCTCTTCACTCGGGTGTCCAAAACATACGGCCGCAGGTCAGATCATACGACTACAAAATCTATCATCGACCTGTGACCTAGGCTGCCCTGGTACCAAGTGTACCGGTGGGCATCCTTATGTTCGAACATGGTGTTCGTTATGGCCAAACTGCGGCTTGCACAGAAGTCCAATAACAAAACACCGCTCAAGTTCAGATTAGGTGGGCCGTTCCTCCCAATCACACCCCTCCAGGTGAAGCTGTCATTGCCCACGTGAGCATTGAAGTCCCCCAGCAGGACAATGGAGTCCCCTGATGGAGCACTATCTAGCACTCGTCCCAGGGACTCCAAAAAGGGTGGGTACTCTGAACTGATATTTGGCCCATAAGCGCAAACAACAGTCAGGACCCGTTCCCCGACCCGAAGGCGCAAGGAAGCTACCCTCTTGTCCCCCGGGGTAAACCCCAACACACAGGCAGAGAGTCTCGGGGCTAACAAAAAGCCAACCCCAGCCCTCCGCCTCTCACCCGGAGCAACTCCAGCAAAGTAGAGTGTCCAACCCCTCTCCAGGTCTCGGGTTCCAGAGCCAATGCAATGTGTCGAGGTGAGTCCGACTATATCTAGCCGGTACCGCTCAACCTCTGCCACAAGCTCCGGCTCCTTCCCCGCCAGCGAGGTGACGTTCCATGTCCCAAAACCTAGTTTTCTTGTCCGGGGATTGGACCGCCAAGGCTCCCGCCTTGGTCTGCCACCCGATTCACATTGCACCGGACCCTTCATGTTCCTCCTGCGGGTGGTGGGTCCACAGTTGGACGAGCCCATGTATCCGGTTCGGGCTGGGCCCGGCCGGGCCCCATGGGCGAAAGCCCGGCCACCAGGCGCTCGCTCACGGGCCCCAACCCCAGGCCTGGCTCCAGGGTGGGACCCCGGTAACCCTCCGGGCCGGGTACTCCGACTCTTCGTTTTAACCGCCATGAAAGATCCTTCGAACCGTTCTTTGTCTCACCCTTCACCTAAGACCAATTTGTCATGGGAGACCCTACCAGGGGCACTAAGTGCCCCAGACAACATAGCTCCTAGGATCATTAGGGCACTCAAACTCCTCCACCACGATAAGGTGACGGTTCAAGGAGGAGCACGAGAAAGCCAAAGCCCGACCTAGACGTCTCGAAGTGAACATCTATCAAAATGAGGGAGATTGTGCATCTTCAGGCCAGCCAGTGCGGAAACCAGATTGGTGCCAAGTTCTGGGAGGTGATCAGTGACGAACATGGCATTGACCCAACTGGAACATACCACGGAGACAGTGACCTGCAGCTTGACAGGATTAATGTCTACTACAATGAAGCTTCAGGTGGCAAATATGTTCCTCGTGCTGTTCTTGTTGATCTGGAGCCAGGAACCATGGACTCCGTCAGGTCCGGACCTTTCGGACAAGTCTTCAGGCCTGACAAATTTGTTTTTGGTCAGAGTGGTGCTGGTAACAACTGGGCTAAAGGCCACTACACTGAAGGTGCAGAGCTGGTTGACTCTGTTCTGGATGTGGTCAGGAAAGAGGCTGAAAGCTGCGACTGCCTGCAGGGTTTCCAGCTCACCCATTCCCTCGGTGGTGGTACAGGCTCCGGTATGGGAACCCTGCTGATCAGTAAGATCCGTGAAGAATACCCAGATCGCATCATGAACACGTTCAGCGTGGTGCCTTCTCCCAAAGTCTCTGACACAGTAGTTGAGCCGTACAATGCCACACTGTCGGTTCATCAGCTTGTAGAAAACACAGATGAGACTTACTGCATTGACAATGAAGCCCTCTAAGACATCTGCTTCCGCACACTTAAACTCACAACTCCCTCCTACGGTGACCTCAACCACCTGGTCTCTGCAGTTCAAATGTAAGTCAACTAATTGTAGCTATCAGGCTGATATCTAAAATGGTTTTCTTTGTATCCAAAGCAGTTATCTATTGTTGGTTTGTTGCTTAGTAGTTGCAGCTTCGGTGACTAGCAGGTAGTAACTCACTAACATATTTAATTTTACCTATATTTACACAATTTAAAACGTAAATGCCTTGTTATGTATTTATATTAAAACTTATATGTATAGAAAATAACGTTACCTCATGTGTCATGTGACCGCGGCGGTCTCATGACATAAGTCTGTTCCATTAAACCGTTTTCTTTGACCAAGGAAGGACAGTGTCCTCATAAGCAAGGCGCCTGGCCTCGCAAGGCGATGTCTTGCGAGGCCAGGCGCCTTGACATTGAGAAACACCCCATGTTCTATTGTTGCAACTACAACTTCTACATGGTGTTCAATATTCAACCTTTAAGGGACTATTGTTCATTGGTTCAAGTGAAACAACAACAAAAAATCTCACTTCTCTGAAACCAAGGAACTGTTGCAAAACAAAACCCAATCTAAGTCTTAAGTTATTTGCCCAATAAAACAATGTCTATTGCTTTGTAAATTACTAAATTTGAATTTATGAACATCTGGTGCAACTAATTCTTGATTTTCTGAATCGATAAAAACATGGCCTAATAATAATAGTAATAATAAAGATGATAACAATCTGTGCACATATTTGGTGACACCTATTTAATTCCCTCGTATCCCCAACCCCGACCATCTGGCCATCCTGTCCATCATCACAGCACACAGTCTCAGCGTACACACTGGTGATGTTCTTATGTTTTATCACTTAATGCCTCCATCTTAAACAATTTTCCCAAGTTTTCAGCATCTCCTATTTGCTGCTCAGTTAACTCTTCATATAAAGAGTTCAGTAATAACACAATGGCAGTCCCTGGTGCACACATATAACTCCATGTAAACATTTTGTTAACCCCTCTTCTCTTCTCTCTCCCCCAGTCCCAACTCAAGAATTGTGAATGTATGTTCTCATGTAAGATAAGGTAAGCTTTCATATGGTTCTGGCATATGAAGCTTATGTCATTCATTATGCATCTTTCAGATAGCCTGTGTAACCTTGCTTGTCTCCGTTAGTGGGCCTGTAGCAGCTTTCCTTCCGCATGAAAGCAGAAACCATTAAAAAACACAAATTTTGCATTTGCATGACAGTTTTCACCAGGTGAAATCCTCACTTGAATTACTCAGTTTTGGAGATTTTAACCGTTTTCTGCTGTAAAACTCAGCAACTACTCCTGTAGCTTGTGACGGAGACAAGGTGAGTAGTTAATTTTTTTTTTTTTTTTTTTACTTTTCTAACCTTTGATGAGAAATTCAGGGTGGCATTTTTGTTCTGAACATGAGCACTGCTGCTGAATTTCAAATATCTTTGAAAATCTGTACCAAAATAGATCTCATAGGATTTATAGGCTTTGCAGATTATTTGCTGTATGTATGAATATGAAAAACATCTTCTCTAGTGGTCTGTTGCTTGATGGATGACTAAATACAGTTTTCAGACAAGAAATCAAAACTTACTTTGAATTGTGGACCTGCATTGTGTGTGACTGTTGAATTCTGTGTGTTTATGATCTGGTGTGCCTATGGGTTGGTCGATTGGGCTGCTTTTACAATAGAAAACAGAAAAAGTAGTGTACCAACCCACACCGTATCACTCAGTGAAGATTATGCAAAACTTTGTCCTACTTAACTTTAGCTTTTTCACCACTTGCTCTTCATGAAGTTTCAAAATAAAACCATCTTCAATCCCGATGCCCAAGTAATTATGAAAAAAAAAAAAAATACTACTTGAACCTCAGAACCCTAGAAGATAATGATAGATTTACAGTCTTGAGATTGTATGATAATAAAAGCATGTTGTGCCCTAGAGCCCAATCTGGTGAAGACGCTCAGCAGCATTTCAACATGTCATCTGCTACAAATGTTGCATTGGTGACACCATGATTAATGTTGAGAAGGAGTGGCCCCAGGACATGTCCATAGGGCACACCCTTTAACCCTCTGGAGGCAGGCTTTGCAACGTTAAATCCTTCCTACCTGGTTACTCCACATACGTTAGTCATGAGCATTTTTTTAACTCTGAAGGACTTAGTTATTCGTCCTTTTATCAAAACTTATTTTGAGCCCGAGAGGGTTAAAACCTTAGAAAACTGGATGCAATTCCCTCAGCTTGCACACATTGAAGTCTATCTGAATGAATGAATGAATGAATGAATGAATGATCAATTTATTCAGTCAGTCATCTTAAGATAATGTACAATAACATGTCATACAAATAGATACAAATACCATTTCTCACTAACATATGCTTTCATTTGTATATGGTGTCTATTTGGTATCTCATGACTGAATAGGTTTAGGCAGAAGCAATAGCTTATATAATTGCCTAACCTACTTGCAAAACAAATTTTCAATTTCCCGCAATGAACCAACAACCCAAATAAAAATAAAACACAAATCCATCCATCAACATCAAATTAATACTCTTCAAAAATATTTTTACTGATAAGTTTTTTAAGAACTGAAAGAGAAGTTGCTAATTTTAATTCTATTTTAGCCTCATTCCAAAATTTTACTCCCATTACAGAGATACATCTACTTTTCATGCCCTTTTTGGCTTTTTGTAGAACAAACTTACATACACCTCTTAAATCATATTTACTTTCCCTCTTTGCAAAAAACATTAGTATATTTTTTGGCAGAGCCGTTAATTTTACTCTAAACATAAATTGCATTATTTTATAATAATATAGATCTTCTAATTTCATAATCTGTGATTTTAAAAACAACGGGTCAGTATGAGCATATCTGACTAATAATTATCAATTCTATAGGCATCACCAATTTACTCTAATAAAAAAGTTTCTCTCAGATAAAGTATCCAGTTCATTTTGTAAGAAACAGGAAATAGGTGATTCATGCAGAGTAAGATTTACCATACTATTTCACAAAATGTACAAAGGAATAAGCACATTTAATTAGCTCTGTGTATGAAATGTGACATATAGTTGATTCTCATATACCACTGCTATATCCAAGTTTAGTTTTTAACTGAATAAGACAAGACAGCTTTATTTATATAGCACATGTCCTACACAAAGGCAATTCAATGTGCTTTAGAGCAGTAAAGACAGACAAAACCAACACAAAAATAAACAATGATTACAAAAAATGAAACCCCTGAAGACAAAAACTAGAAAATTGACATAATGTCAATTAAAGATTGTGAAAAGAACTAAATGTGGTCAGCCAGGAAATACTGTGTAAGGAGAACTGCAGACCAGGACTAAAGCCGTGAAGCTAGTACTAAAACTAACATATAATTAAAGCTAACAGAGGTCAGGTAGGAAGGTTAACCAGGAGTTACTGTGTGTAAGGTGACTAAGGAGGCATTGAGTAGATAACAATGTGGTCAGCCATGAATTATTAAACAAGTGAAAGCACTGATTAGGCTGGTGACTAGAACTAATACATTTAAAGCTAGTACTATGTACTACAAACAGTGATGACTGAAATTAGTAACCAACAGAAATTCAATACTTTGAATGGGTAGGAAGGCTAACCAGGAGTTACTTAGTGTAAGGTGACAAAAACTGGAGAGATAACAGAAAGTGGTCAGCCAGGAATAGCTAAGTGTGAAAGCATTGATTAAACTAATAAAACTGACAGTGAAACAGGTCAAATGAACCACAGAAAACCACACTGGACTAAAACTGGAAGATCAATTAAACACTGAGTAGTGAACTAGCCAGCCAGGAGTATGTGAAAACATTTATTAAGATAAAGTAAGGTGACAAATAATAATAATAATTATTATTATTATTAAGCTACAGGTGTACGGTGACAAGCTAAAACTAATGCTGACTAAAACTAGAAAACTAACTGAAGGTGGCCAGCCTGGACAGTATATAAAACATTTAGCAAGGAGAGGGTGAGGTATGGGATAGAGAGAGAAGGGAGGGGCGAGGGTGATAACATGCGCCCCTTCTCTGCTCCCTACAGGGGCGGGGCAGAGAGAGAGTGAAGGCAGAACACGATTATGTAAATCCACAAGAATAGTTGGGGTGGGTGGAGGTTAGAGGCCAAAGAGAGCAGTGACCCCCAAATTCCACTACCTCCGCTCCGCTCCGCTCCGGTCCGCCCCCGCCTTCCGCAGCCGCTCGCTTCCGAACTCAATTTTTACTGGTACCCGCTCTACAACGGCTCCGCTCCGGTGCGGAGACCTGAGGGGGGCAAACAAGCATGCGCGGGATTTTCGAGATCTTGCGATACAGTCCGAGCAATAAACGCGGAAGTTAGATCCAAACACCCGTTGTGCGGGAGAAGCATCGGAAATGAGCTGTTTAATCTGCCCATCATTGTGTTGAGAGATCAGCAGTGTTTGGATCAACAAAGTGTGTCTACTTTGATAGTGGCAACTGTATTTATGGCTTATTTTTGTGCATTTAAACTTCAGCCGCCATTGATAGTTGTTAAAAGTTGTTAAACCTGTGCATATGAAACAAAAAACGCCTTTTGTTTAGCGATTTATTGTGAAAAACGGAAGATGTGCTTGCTCCTTTTCCTGTTGGGCCGTTGTGATTTCTGTCCATTTACTGCGGAGGTGCTCCGGCGTCCGGCAAAAATAGGATCGATTCTATTTTTGCCGGACGCCGGAACAGAGGGCGCCGCACGGCGCCGCACTGCCGGAGCACGGCCGCAGTAGTGGAATTGCTCTGATTGACTAGAACGGGACCGATTTTGCTCCGGCGTTCGTGTCGGAGCGGAGCGCAGCGGAGCGGAGGTAGTGGAATTTGGGGGTGAGTCCTTCATGGTTCCATGACCTTCCAGTCAGATCCACAGTTCCACGTCAGGAGTAGGTTAGGATGGTGGAGAGAACGAGTCTCTGTATTCCTTCTACGGGGAGTTTTGTTTTCTTGCAGGCAAAGTCGAGCGGGGAGTTAGGTTAAGGCCTAGTCACACCACCTCGTTTTAAATAAAAACTCTGTCCACACGTGCCCGGATAAATACGTTGTTAAGGACATGCCAGACATGTAGGCGGCAGTACTTCCCCGGCTCTTAACCTCGTCCTTCGTCTGTGGTCTTCCGCAAGGAGCGGTAATTCCGCTTGCAAAAACAAACAAGCAAAAAGCGCTTGGACCAGGATCGGGTAGTGACAGAGCGCAGCTCTGAGGGCTTCCATGATGCCGGCTAGTGTAAACACAGGTCGCACACGTGATGTCAGCATTTTTTTGTCACGGAAAGTGACGTTGCGGACCTTAAAACTCCGGTTTTGTCCGTCCACACTCAGACACCCAAAACGGAGAAAACGCAGATCTTCACTTTGGCCGGAGTTTTTAAAAAGATCCGTTTTCGTGTGAAAAGACTCAGTTTTCGTGTGGATGACAGGCCAAAACGTAGAAAAATATCTACGTTTTGGCAGATCCCCGGCTACATGTGGACAGGGCCTAAGATAACATTTAACGTTTTCCTCCCTGCCTTACAGTTTTACTGGTCTCAGGAGTATCCAGTCAGCCAAATAATGGGGTTTAATTCCATCTGTATCGTGCAGTTGCATTCTCCATCATGGTATCCATCCCCGCGTGCGAATTGAAGATTCGTCCCCAGGTTTCTACAGAGCATCCAGCTCGCGATTCACCTGCAGCAACGTCTCTGAGCGCCCAGCGCACAGCAGTAACCTTCCCAGAGCTCAGGGTTTTATCCAATAGCCCCAGACAGCTCCTTAAATTTCCGATATAATCAGATAACTGTCCACTCCAGTCAGCAGGTACCCGAAAATCATAAATCCAAACCGTACGTCTTCTGGGTCCTCAACGGAAAGAAGGGAAAGGCACATGATGATCCACTTACAGGAATCCAAAAAGCATCCAACCTGGTGTGTTCCGTGCAGGAATATGGAGCTCCCTCCTCCGTTTTGAATGTTGCAAAAATTTCATCAATGTTGTTCTGTGACCAGTTGACCAGATTCATCATTTTAAAAATATAATTCCAGAAAGAATCCAAAGATTCATTCTCAGAAAAGAGCCTTGGGAAGACAAGGGGCAGGAGTAAAAAGGAAAGCATGTGCTTGCTTCGCGTGCCCGGAGAGAATGAGGAATAATAAACTCAGCTGGTTAATCTATTCCACCTATATACCCAAGTTTAGCTGTTTTTATTTATTTATTTATTTTTTAATAAACCACCAAACCTTTTCATGCATGCAACCATAGCGTTGATAGGATGTAGTTCATGCTTTTAGAATATTTCTAACATGACCATTTATCTAATACATACACCAAAGTAGGACTGCTCGATTATGGCAAAAATAATAATCACGATTATGGTGACTGAAATTGAGATCACGATTATTTAGGACGATTTTTCAATTTATGTTGATTTTATTTGTTTTTATTCAGTCATAAAACTGCTCAGGGCACAATCGGGACAAAAATAAACAAGAAACAAGATGATCACTAAAATAACTCCTGATTCCCAGTATAAAAAGACCAATATACTTACAGCTCATAGTTTATGACCCAAGGGCTATAGACCTTGGTTTAACTCATGTAAGTCTAACCAGTACATACCCAAATACCAATATCTTGCAAATACTGACAGCAAGAATTATACAGTGGCATTTATAACAAATAAATGCAAATAAATTGATGTTCACAAAATGTTGCATAACATTTATTTAGTCGTGTCAAGGTGCTGTAGGAGAGTGCACTAGCACCGTGTCCTCAGAGAGATTAGTTATTATTTATCAGCATGAGGAACTTACTTCTATCTATTTCTACCTTATTTATAAACTATTTATTTACAAGTCCATCAGTTAATGTAATAATTGTCCCAACCACAGCTGCATCCCCCACCCCAGTTTCACAGCAATCGGGCAAGCTGCACGTGTGCTTAGCATACCGCACACGCACATTTAGCCGTTTTTAGCGGCTCAGGAGTCCGCAGGTGCGGTGTGTGTGTCACTCACTCTGGTTACTCCAACAAGGAGCTGGCTCCGAGAGCCGCTTCTTTAGCGACTGACACGTCACTGCATCATTCCCTTTCCTAATGTCCTGAAGAACGGTCCGGTGCGCAGGCGGAGTGTTTAGCTAACCTGCAGGAAATGTCGACGACAGTTATCCAGAAAGTAGCTAAGGGCTACCAGAGATGTTTCTGAGGTGTTCGCTAGGTACTTTTAGGATTAAAAAGTCAAGAAGGGGGTCTGAAAAGCTGTTGGAAATAGCGTCACAGTCGCTAAGTTGGCAACACTGTGGAGGAGCGCTTCATTTGCAACTCAGGGCAGCGCAAGCGGGAGGAGCAAATAATCGGCTTGTTTTGTTTTTTATAATCGTTCAAAACTCAGATCGTAATCGTGATTAAAATACGATTAATTGAGCAGCCCTACACCAAAGCCTTTATTAATAATTTCTGTTTATTTTTACATTGCAGCACGCCATGTCATGTTCTGTGTCCCCTTGGTCCCCAGCCCCCTCCTGTTCTCCCTCAGGTTCTCCTTATGTGTCTTCTTGTGTTCCCCAGCTCCCTCTAGGCTTTCCTCATGTTTCCCTCCCAGTCACTCCCTTGTAATTCCCATTTGTTTGCATTTGTCCTCCTCACCCCTCTAGTTGTTTACTTCTGCACTTAGTTCTAGGTTTAGTTATTTAGTGTCTTATAGGTTATGTTATCTTCCCCTCTGCTTGGTTCTTCCCTTCCCATTTAGGCCTAGTCCACACGTAGCCGGTTTTTTTTAAAAAACAAATATCCGCCCCTCCAAAAACTTGCATCCACACCACCTCGTTTTAAAAAAAAATCTCTGTCCACAGGTACCCGGATAAATACGTTGTTAAGGACATGCCAGACCTGTAGATGGCAGTACTTCCCCCGTTCTTAACCTCGTCCTTCGTCTGTGGTTTTCCGCAAGGAGCAGTAATTCCGCTTGTAAAAACAAACAAGCAAAAAGCGCTTGGACAATTGATAAAGCGAGCGCAGCTCTGAGGGCATCCATGCAGTCGGCTAGTGTAAACAAAGGTCGCACATGTGATGTCAGCATTTTTTTGTCGCGGAAAGTGACGTTGCGGTCCTTAAAACTCCGGTTTTGTCTGTCCACACGCAGACACCCAAAACGGAGAAAACGCAGATCTTCACTTTGGCCGGAGTTTTTAAAAAAGATCCGTTTTCGTGTGAAAAAACTCCGTTTTCGTGTGGTTGACAGGCCAAAACGTAGAAAAATATCTACATTTTGGCAGATCCCCGGCTACGTGTGGACAGGGCCTTAGTTAATTGATTTCACCAGTCCTCCCTCTAGACCTCACTCCTCACACCTGTCACCTGTTCCCCTGATTGCTAAACCCTGTCTTGTCCCTCAGTGTTTGTTGGTTCGTTGTCGTATGTGTCTGCGTTGCTCGTTCCCCTCTCGAGTTTTCCCGAGTCTGTGCTCATGCGTGAGCTTTTGTTTGTTTTTGAGTTTTCAGTGAGTTTTTTGAGAGTTAGTCTTATTATTTGTGCTTTGGATTTCGGCACATCCTCCTTTAATAAAGGAATTATTTTCTTTAAACCTCTCCTGCCTTAAGTAGTTCTGGGACTTTCTGCATCTTGCACCTCCTACACTCAACATGACATGCCAACATGCTAAGCAAATGTCTTTTAGCAATAACATCCCAAATGTTTATTATGTCCATTATGTTCTGTTGCTGCTGTTACCACACTGGAAGTATTTAACTCCAGATACAACTGTGCTTTATTCCACCCTTACAAAATTACCAGCATGGTTTTAAACTCTTACAATATTTCAGCAGAAACGATGCAAAAAAATTTATTAGAGCATAATCTGAAACTGTTAAACGGACGGAAAATGGAGTTGAATGTGCATTTTGCAGAGCAATTTAAACCACATTTCTTCTCAGTTATTGTATTTTTTCTTTATTATGCCACCCACTCTGCCGCTGTTAAGCTTTTCACGACTTGTCCTTTACCTTTTCTACTTGCTTAGTCCTCTCCAAATATATCTATCATTCCTGGCAATATTGTAACTTTCTTTTTCCCCTTTAGGAGGCTTCACCTTCTACGAGCTCATGCGACGTGGAGTACCTCTACACCTGATTGATAAGTACGTGAATGAGGCGAAGATTGTTGATCAAGAGAAGTAAAACTTTCAGTTCAATAAGAACATTTGTAGATGTCAGTCGCCTTTTGAGACCCTTTTCTATCACCTTTTGAGATTAGCAGATGGGTTGAGGATGGAGGTCTGGTGAAACAAATGGATGGGGTGTTGGTGTACTGATACATGGAGTGGTATGCTGTGTGCAGGTTTGAAGCTTATGTAGAATTCAATAGCCAGTTCATCTTGTGTTTGAAACTGTGATGTTTGAAAGGCTGTTTCAGCTAAAATGCATGTTGAGAGGATTTTGGATCAAGATGCATTTCATTAGTAACGTGTGTAAAAAAAAACAGAAAAATTGGCACAAGACTTCCATCTACAGTATTTACAAGTGGATTTTTAATGGTAGATGTTGGCGAAAGTGATTGTTTTCTGGAAGCTTATAGATAAGAAGTGACTTTCCCCACTGTGGGATCAATAAAGTCTGTTCTATTCGATTCTAAAAATGTATAAACTATGCAATAGCCTTGTTATTGTGTTGATGTACATCTATGCTAAATAAAATAGCATTGACTAATGTTGGAAAAGGGCATGTCAAGCCTTCCAATATACATATGAATGTAACATTTTTGTGTAATTAAATTTTTGTCCAACAGATAAGAAAATGTAGATGTTTGATAACAGTTCACATTCTGCATGACACATTTAGATGTTGCGATTCATATTGGTACAACGTTTAATAAAAGATCAACCATATGTGCATGCTTTCCTCTTTGTAAGAATGAACAATAAACTCAAAGCTGAGTAACTTGGTCTATTTTCCTGTTCTTTGCTGTTTTAGAATAGAATAGACTTTATTAATCCCACAGTGGGGACATGCACTCATTACAGCACCACATACACTTAAAAAAAAGGAAGAAGAAAAATAAGAAGATTACAGGTAAACACACAAAGGCAGTAAGCTCTTTTTGTGACCTTCGACCACTAAAAACAACAAAGAAAAAGAAATCTTGAGTTTCCAGAACTATGCAGCACAAATGGTAAATGGTAAATGGCCTGTATTTGATATAGCGCCTTCTAGAGTCCTGGAACCCCCCAAGGCGCTTTACAACACAATCAGTCATTCACCCATTCACACACACATTCACAAACTGGTGGGGATGAGCTACAATGTAACCACAGCTGCCCTGGAGTGCACTGACAGAGGCGAGGCTGCCGAGCACTGGCGCCACCAGTCCCTCCGACCACCACCAGCAGGCAACGTGGGTTGAGTGTCTTGCCCAAGGACACAACGACAGCGACAGACTGAGCGGGGCTCGAACCTGCAACCTTTCGATTGCGGGGCGAGCACTTAACTCCTGTGCCACCGTCGCCCCACAAGGGAAACAAACATACATCTGGTATTGCGCAATAGGGCTGCAACAAACGATTATTTGGATAATCGATTAATCGGATGGGGTCTCGACACGATTAATCGATTAATTGGATTACATGGGGAAATTTTTAAAAACTGCTAGGGAAACGTTATTTCTCTCCTTCCTTCACTTTATTTAACACAACATTATTAGAAAACAGTTCAATAGCAGAAAAACAACATGCCATCACCTAAATTGTCTTATAAGGTGTATAGACAGAGACCCTAAGCTACATCTATCTGTGACCTAAAATGCTTGGTCCAAGTTAAACAGCTTAAGGGCAATTCTCATCTGTTTTGTTTGATCTCATCTGTTGACATTTATTTTAAATGTAATTAAACATAGGCTGTGAATTAATCAAAATTGATCACTATTTCCAAAAATGACTGAAAAAATACCAAATAAAACAAAAGTAAATGAATGCCATTCTCCTTGCGATGATGCCCTGGGCAACTGCCATAAAGTCACATCAAGAAATGCTGCTGATCATTCCAATGATCCCAAATAGACTCACATTAGGCCACATGAAAGCAACTGAACCCAAAAATATATTAACCAGTATATAACTGCACTCTCACACAACACGCCTGCAGCAACAGTTAGGACTCCTCCCTCCCTTTTAAAAGCGTTTTTGCTTCCGAGGACATTGTGGTTGTAAAACCACATGCTAGTAGTCTGGCCCCGGTGTGATCAACCAGTTTCTGCGGGAATGTGACGGCGGAACCAGGGCCAGATTAACACTTTGTTGTACCCTGGGCAACAATATTCAAGGGCTCCATCATCACGACCCGAGGATCACCATAATGTGGTCACATACAGAATATTTTACTGTAATATGCAGTAAATATACTCAATACTTGAATGCCTGACAACACGTAACCCGCCCAGAGTAACCTTTGACCCACCTCGTGTGGACTGACCAATGAGGAGAGGGTCTTAACTTGAGGCCCTCTCTTCATTGGTCAGTCTGCATGAGACTGACTCTCAACTGACATTTGAAGTCATAGGCAGCAAAGCGTCTCTGTGCAGTGCAAAAGCCCGGGTGGACAGTTTGTTTAATATAGGGTGATCATATTTCCATTTCCAAACAAGAGGACAGGGGATCTGTGCCTATGATGTCACACTATGGCAACGCCACACAAACCATGTTGGGACCCATTTTTTGTAAGAACTAAATTAATATCAGATTCTGCCAATAAAAGGGCTCTAAAACAATTCATATGTAAATATTTTGCATATTTAATGCAAAATCTCATTTTTATGCTTTAGTGCTGCAACAAGGTTTTATTAATAATAAATTATTATACCTTTTGTTTTACTACAGCATCGGTAAGCTTCCTGTGCACAGATTATTAAGGATGCTTGTTTCAGCTGTGAGATTAGACGATAGGATCAATGATAAAATAAGTTGTCACACACTCCATGGAAACTTTCAGAGAATCCACAAATAGTGGCTTTCAAATGGTTTTGTTACTTTTTGCAAGTTTAGAAAAGAAGCTGATGAGACAGCATGTCTTATAATTTAGTTTTTCATCTGATATATTAGAACATGTCAGTAATGTCTGAGGGGCTTTTACAAACACTGTATAACTAATACTACTGGAGAGGGCATGAATTACACAGAGGCTTCTGGGGAGCCCAGTTATGGGGGGGGGACATTTTGCCTTGGCCCCCAAAATGTCTTGAAACGGCCCTGGGTGTGTGACTGAGTTTTGAAGGTGATCTGAATTGTATCAGATGTATAACTATGACATGTGTATAACTTATTGTTTTTTACTGGTAAAAACGTGTAGTGGAGATAAATCTACCTACATTTTACTTTGTTTTCTTGTTTTTATTTAACTATTTTCCTGTCCTGTCTGTCTCTCATCTTCCTGCATCTCCTCATAATTCTCCAGAAAATCTGTTGCCTGGATTCTTACTTTTTCACCTCATCAGTTACTTTTGAGCAGATCAAAGAGATCTCCTGACCGCAAAGCGGAGAGCGCGTTTTCGATGCTGCGTGAGGTGACATCACCACAGCAGAGGTGATGAGCTCCGCAGCAGAGCGCTTCAGGCACAAATAAGACAGAAAATAGAGAACATGTGCAGACAAGAACGATCGTGTGCTAATTATAGTTTTTTGGTTGCGCCACTTTGAGAATGGACCGTGCGCTGGAAGCAGCTGCCTGGATCGCTGTGCAACAATGCGGAACCGGTTCGCAGCAGCGCAAGTCTGCAGGCTCTCCCTCGCGCTGATCTGCGGCTCTCCCTCGCGCTGATCTGCGGCTCTCCCTCGCGCTGATCTGCCTGTACCGGCTCTCCCTCGCGCTGATCTGCGGCTCTCCCTCGCGCTGATCTGCGGCTCTCCCTCGCGCTGATCTGACTTGCTCTGGTCTGCGCGCAACGGTGGGCGGGAGGGGGGGGGGGGCCGCTTTTGGAAGAGTTGTGCGACACAACGAATCGATGACGCAATTCGTTGCCAACGCTTTTAGTAATCGATTTTCATCGAATTCATCGATTCGTTGTTGCAGCCCTATTGCGCAATAATGAGCACATACTGAAAATTGCATTGTGTTGATGTGATTGTGTAACGGCATAATGCCAGCATGGACGTAATTTTGGGGGGGGACAGGGGGGACATGTCCCCCCACTTTTTCCAAAGTCAAGTTTTGACCCCTGCACGTTTTACCATCCAAAAACAATATTATGCTGTATTAAATTGATACTGGTTGAGTTATAGGACCAAGCGGAAAACAACCGTTTGTGTTGAAGCCTGTTTCCTATTAGAGCATACCGTAAAGACACCCACCCCCCCCCCCCCCCCCCCACACACACACACACACACACACACACTTCTAAAGCGAAAATGACGTCCATGAATGCCAGTACCAGTTAAACTGAGGATTTACGCTCTTAGGTCAGATGAATGACCTTTTACATTAATTTACCATATTCAAAACAAAGACCCACTCTTAGGGAAATACATTTTAATATTTGATGTCTAAAATATGAATTAGGCCATACACCTACGTAGAGTATTTGTCTAATTTCAACATTTTTACTTAAAATCATTTTAACCTCCTGCCTTTCCTGAACTCCATAAACAAGGAAACTTGTTTACCACAACTATCATTCATTTGGTCTTTTAAAGTTCCCGCATTATGCTATTTCACACCTTCCAAAGCAAAGATAGGCACAATATATGATAAACTATTACCGTTGGCACTATTGAGATGCCAGCTCTAATGAAATATAATTTGTTTTCGTGAGGCATTCCTTCAACATGGAAATGTATTAGGTATACATCTTGATTTTTATCATAAATTTGAACATCTCCATCTGTAAACTAATTAGTTACTTAACAATGCAACCAATATATTTGGCTATAATAAACTATAGCCAAAAAAATGACTGTAATCAGGGTTCAAATTACGGGGTAGCTGGAGGAAGCCCGGCACCCCCGAAAGGGTGATGGGCTCCCCTGAAAGCCCTCAACTGACAAACCCAGGGGGAGCCTTAATAGAGGCAATTGGATGGAAGACACCAAGGGACCACCCTCCAGGCAGCAGCATTCTCATGGGGCTTGTAGGAGCCATTTGTGTACTATCTGATTTGTATTTTTCCTAAGCCAAGTGACAGGCCCAGGGCCTGAGTGGTAGCCACTCCCGCTTATTTAATCTGGGAGAGATCAGCGCCAGATGTTGCTGACACGGGGCGCAAGCAGGTTCTGCTGTGTGGTGAGGACTGGGTGACTGAGTGATCACGAAGCACAGACAATTAGGGGCAAGGAAACATATAGAAATAAAATTGTGCCTGTGTAGCTTAATCATGGACACTGACCCCAAAATTCCACTACCTCTGCTCCGCTGCGCTCCGCTCCGGCACGAACTCCGCAGCAAAATCTGTCCCATTGTAGTCAATCAGAGCTGTTCCACTACTGCGGCCGTTCCGCCATCCGGCAAAAATAGGATTGATTCTATTTTTGCCGGACGCCGGAGCACCTCCGCAGTTAATGGACAGAAATCACAACCGCCCAACAGGAAAAGGAGCAAGCACAACTTCCGTTATTTCACAATAAATCGATAAACAAAAAGCGTTTTTTGTTTCATATGCACAGGTTTAACAACTTTTAACAACTATCAATGGCGGTTGAACTTTAAATGCACAAAAATAAGCCATAAATACAGTTTCTACTATCAAAGTAGTCACCCTTTGTTGATCCAAACACTGCTGATCTCTCAACACAAATGATGGGCAGATTAAACAGTTCATTTTGATGCGTCTCCCACACAACGGGTGTTTGGATCTAACTTCCACGTTCATTGCTCGGACTGTATCGCAAGATCTCGAAAATCCCGCGCATGCCTGTTTGCGCACCTCAGGTCTCCGCACCGGAGCGGAGCCGTTGTAG